ATTATGTCAAGCAAAGAGGCACTGAGTTTGAAGGTAGGCCTTGAAATACATCCACAGGTACACCTCCAATTGACTCAAATGATGTCAATTGGCCTATCAGAAGCTTCTAAAGCCATGACGTCAATTTCTGGAATTTTCCAAGCTGTTTAAAGGCACAGTCAACTTAGTGTATGTAAACTTCTATCCCACTGGAATTGTGATACAGTGAATTATAAGTGAAATAATCTATCTGTAAACAATTGTTGGAAAAATTACTTGTGTCATGCACAAAGTAGATGTCATAACCGACTTGCCAAAACTATAGTTTGTTAACAAGAAATTTGTGGAGTGGTTGAAGTGTGTAGAAGTGTATCAGTGAACTGTATTGTGTAGAAGTGTATCAGTGAACTGTATTGTGTAATTAGTTACAAGACAATAGAAGTGCAGTTGTGTTGTTGTTTTCTCTGACATCCAACATTCCATGATCAGCTCTGTTGACCATGAGAGCGTTTTGCAGAGAAAATGGGTTGAGGCATACCTTTTAGGCTCGGAATGACGTGGCCCATTGTCTACCTTGCCATCAATGATGTGGCCCATTGTTTACCTTGTTACCTGGCAACAACCACACAGGCGTTTAAAATAGCTGTCTGTCAAGGCGAGCTCATGGATGTAAGCTCCCCGCCCACTCTGCATGTTCTTTCAGGCTTTCTAATACTTAGAGATGAGATGTAACCTACAATTTCTTCAATTCTAAGCATTTTAATAGCCTAATAATGTTACGGGTGATATTTTGGTCATTCAAAGGCTATTTTAACTTGGGAAATAGGATGACTGTGTGGGACCTTTAAGGTTATGAAAAAAACAAAGAAAGGATATTCAGTGTCTTATTACAAAATATGCTGTACACTGAATTTCCTTTCTTAGTATTTCTTAGCACAGTGTTTCGGAAAGCACATTTTCAGAAAGTGTCCCACTCTACCAATGCTCCCCCTAATCAAAGCAGCACTACATCAGACCTATAGCAACACTGTGTGATGCCAAGTGTATTTGCATAAATGTAGCATTGCAACCCCACCGGAGAAGTATTCTATAGCGTGCAGCGTGAAGAAATAGTCAGCCAGTTACAGGAGAGTTTGCCTCTCAGATTGAGAAGAATTAGCCAATGGAGGGAGTGAAGGCATCTATATTTGGCAACACTGTAAAAAGAGCACTTCCTTCTTCTATTAATAAGATCTGCATCCTTCCTGTGACCTCATAAAACAAGCCAAATTCCTCCGGTGCGAGGAATTACTCTTTCCAATTCATTTGACTCTAATTACATTTTGCATCAGCATGCTCTACTATAAATCGACCAAATTCAAGGAGCTGCAAATTAAAAATAAGTGTTTGTGTGTGTGTGAGTGTGTGTGTGTGTGAGAGAGAGCGAGGGAGAGAAAGAGACAGAGAGAGAGAGAGAGAGAGAGAGAGAGAGAGAGAGAGAGAGAGAGAGAGAGAGAGAGAGAGAGAGGGAGAGAGGGAGAGAGAGTGAGAGAGGGAAAGGGAGAGGGGGCAGAGTGAACAGGGAAAGAGAGAGAAGCCAATTTGCCTGTGACAATGCATATCATGGGTATGTGGCAGATATTCAGCCCCTCTTGAAGGACAATGGAAGTTCAATAGAAAATGTTTGTCTTTCTGCATCACAGCCTTTAGCCATACACAACACGTGCCCTGATGAAGGCTGTGCTGCTGTCTTGATTTCTAACAATACAGAATCCTTTTCCATTGAACTTCCATTGTCCTCTATGTGTCTGAATAACTCCCGGAGTACAGTTTCCAGTCTGTTCCTAATTTCACACACCTTGGTTGGAATGTGAGGTAGCAACAGTATACACTTTTCTTTTACAGTGCAACATATGATGAAAAGCACTGCACAAGATACTGGAAAAACAGCAATGTTTTATTGGTGTTTATGTATGAACTACAATCTCTGGTATCATTAAATGTACGCTGTATTCCTTGAGAGATATGGGAAGGATGTTAACAGAGATTTCCATTTGACTCCTCAGTCTCTCACATTCTCTCTATACATTTGAATCCATAAGCAAATGTAAAATATTGATCTGAAAATCGTTTTTTTTTTTGCATGTTATTTTGAAAATACGTCTGGTATAAATGTACCACTTGAGGAGCATTCTCTCAGAAAATTAGAGAAGGGACAAAACCCCCATACACTCCCCTCCCATACATGGACAGTTGTCAGAACGACACACAATAAAATCAATCACCAGCTCCACACAGAAACGAATCTCTCACCGCCTTATTGGCTGTAGCCTAAACTGTCAAAGGTCAAACATTCAGCCACCAAAAACATTGAAAAGGAATTGAAAGCATTGAAAAGGAATCACTGGAAAGGGGAAAGAATGGTCAACCTCGGCTATAGACAGTTGATGTGAATATCACCTGCATGTGAGACTGGACCGGATGGGAACAGAAGCCACTGCTGCTGTATCCATGCGCTGTTTGAGGACTCCGAGGAACAGGTTATCCAGATATAACTAGTGAATAGATCAGCATGGCCTTGTCAGAGATAAATGTTTTCTGAATATGGATACTGAAGTGCTGAATGAATGCTTCTGTATATGCAATTTCTGTATTATGAACAATTGGCATAACGCTGAGCACATGCTAAAAACAGGTTCATATACCCATAAATCAAATGACTGTGACTTTCACACTGAGCACTAATGTCTGTATCGAGTCAATGCAGTCTATTTGTGATGCCAATTGGAGATACTAACATAATAATAATACATGCCATTTAGCAGACACTTTTATCCAAAGGGACTTGCATACGTTTTACGTGTGGGTGGTCCCAAGCGGGAATCAAACCTTGGCGTTGCAAGCGCCACGCCCTACCGCCTGAGCCACAGAACCACCTGATATTGAAAAGGTCATGTTTACCCATTCAGTTGTTGGCAGCGTAACACGGAGTGTGTGACTTCCTTTCTTGTTGTATTGTCATAAGCATGACATGAGCAGTCATGGCAGCTCACTGTCTGTCAGCTAATGACAACTGGCTGTGCCCTGCCTTTGATGCAAACCGTTGTTAAATATGTGTCCCTATGTAACTTTGTTGGCTAGGTGTAGCGCTGCCAGTTCGTACCAAACATTGTCTCCGTCAACGCAGTTGTGTTAACGTAGTAGTGGATACAACTGGATACAACTCTGTGCCCCTGTAATTCACCGAGACACTTTAACCTGCAATCTAACAGCGGATTTTGGGAATTGTATTATAAAGTTAAGCAGCAGTTGTTAGCTCCGGGACGGCAGCCCTGGCATATCTGATGCTCCTCACGCTCCACACAAGGTCCGTGTTTCCATGGCGACTGTCCGTCGGCTATTTCTGCGCTCCTTATTCCTTATCACATCCTCAATATCTCCCCCCATGGCCATCATGGGCCAACCCCTTCCCTCCTTCCTCCCTTCCTCCACTCAACTACCAAATGAAATGCGACGTGTAAACAGAGAAGAGAAGAGGCAAGGCGGCGTTGTGATAGATGGACGACGCGCGAGGCATGATCAAAAGGCCTTGTGTTGTTGTATTTTCACTGACAAACACGGCTGAGAAGATCAGAGTAGGAGCCTCTCAGAAATCAGAAGACTAGCTCCCCCATTAGCTGCTCTGTAAAGGGATAAGGCTTCTCACGCTGTTTGCTGTGTATCAGCCCTCCTCTATCTCCTCTAGAAGCTACAAATTGACTGCTGATGCAGTTTAATGAGCGATTACACCTCCTTATTTACCAGACAGACAGTACATACGGTTAGCCCCCTGTGTTAGCTGCCAGGGTCACGGCGAATTACACGCGAGCTCAATTGGCTTGCTTTATCTGCGCTAACAGACGGGCTATCAGCACCCGAGCGTCTGTGACCCCAGGGTGATACCAAGGTAACGCGACAGTGCTGCGGACGTAGATCATTAACACGCTAACGGGAGGCTTATTCTCCCCTTCATTCTCCCACAGCTGCACTGCCATTCCCCCAATGTATAAAGAGAGACGCATTAGATATGGAGAGATGAGAGATTAATGTGCCAGAGAGAGAGAGAGAGAGAGAGAGAGAGATAGAGGAGAAGAAGAAGAGAGGGTGGGGGGAGAATGATAGAGTGAAAGAGATACAGCGTGAGAGGAGGGAGAGAGAGAGGAGAAAGAGAGCATGAGAGGAGAGAGAGAGTGTGATAGGAGAGAGGAAGAAGGGAGGGAGGGGGGAGAGAGATCTTCATCTTAATTTAAGTGAAGGATGTATAGTTGTTGTTTAGGAGCCGGGAAAATGCAAGTTCAGTCATTTGGCCGTCTGGTTCCTGAGGCATGTTGGCCTCATTGCTCATTTCATTAACAGCCAAGTCATGGCAACATCTGTATCTCATCTAATTTGAGTGGCAGGAAGAGTATGATATAATATGAGTATCCTCCGTCTTCATCTGTTTTATTTATGTAGCTGTGCTAATATGCTGCGAGGGCTGTGAATATATCCAAAGGAATAAGGAAACACCAGGGCATCTGGGATATTATAATGACCTTCAAAAACAAATAAATATGATCAAACAAGGCAGTATTATATTTTCATCTGAATTAGCCCTATCATCAAATTAAATCTGTGTTATTCTATTCCGTTGGTGCACTCATATTTGGAAAGGGTCCGAACATGGATTGAATATAGAGAATTAATTTGAGTAGATGAGTTTGCAGTGAACCATTCTTCCCCCAACATCACACAGAGGTTAAATAAAAAAGGAGCTAAAAAGCTCATTCAGATTTGTTTTTCTTGATTTAGCAACTAGACATATATTTTTTAAATAAATAATTTCTGTTTTGTAAAGACACTTTTTGAAATAGCACACCCATTTTCAAAGATGTTGATACATTTGATCCTTAACATCATCAGTCAAGTCAGTGTCAAGTCATCCCCACACTAATCCTTACCATTCTGTCCATGATACTTCCTGTATGAGATAGCTAATATCGGATTCCTCTAACGAATCTGAATCAAATTTGGGTCTCTTGCACATTGTCTTTTGAGCTGGCTTGAATCAGTAAAGGTTCCTGTGTGTGGGAGTGGTGGTAGGTGCTCCTGTAAGTGTTGTAATGGTTGTAATGCTCCAATGGGGGCAGGTGTAAGTGTGTCTCCATGGCAGCGACCCCGGCTAGCTCCTCCTCCACTGTGATGACCTCCATGGAGGAGGCGGGGCCGTCGGGGTCCTGCTGGTGGTTCTGCTTCCTCATCTTGTAGAAAATGACCAGCAAGACGGCGGCCATGAGCGTGATGGCCACGAAGCAGCCGATGATGATCTTGGTGGTCTTCATCACCTCCTCCAGGCCGCGGTCCCCCTCCCCGTCCAGGTCCAGAACAGAGACGGTGTAGGTCCGCTCCGTGGTCCTGGTCTGGACCAGAGGCCCCCTGGTGGTTGAAGATGATACCCAGCCAATCGGGGGAAGAGCAGGAGTCTGGCTGTCATCTACTGTCTCTGTGGTCTCCACGGTGACTGTGGTGAAGTAGGTGACGCCGCTGTTCTCCACCGAAGTGACGTTGAGCACGGCCGAGGCTGAGATGTTGCCCGCCGTGTTGCTCACCATGCAGGTGTAAGTCCCTGTGTCCTGCATGGTGACGGTAGTGAAGTTCAACGTCCCGTCGTTGAGGACGGCCAGGCGCACCTTGTACGCCCCGTGGGTCACCAGCGACCCGTTGGGGGTGAGCCAGCTAACCGAGGTCAACGAGCTCGTCCTGCACTTGAGCTCCGCCGCCATGCCCTCTGTGACGTTGCGGTCCGCCGGCGGCTCCACGATGACGGGCACGTCGCACTGGAAGTAGCCGTGCTCCAGCTCGCCGATGTAGCGACCCCTGTAGCTGGCTGGGGTGTGGCAGCGGGCACAGCAGCTGGTGTTGGCAGGCACCGTCTCCTTCAGCCACCAGCTAAGCCACAGAATGTCACAGTTACAGTTCCAGGGGTTATGGTGCAGATGGACTCTCTCCAGGCGGTGCAGGGGGGTGAAGAGGTCGTGGGGCAGCAGGGTGAGGTTGTTGTGGGCCAGGTTGAGCTCCACCAGGGACTGGAGGTCGTCGAAGGAGTTCCTCTCAATGGTCTGGATCTGAGCGTGCATCATCCACAGCTTCTGCAAGTTTGCCAGTCCTGCGAAAGAGCCAGGCCCTATGACAGAGATCTGGTTTCCTGACATCTCCAACTCCTCCAGCCTGACCAAGGGTAGGATGTTGGGGATCTCCTTGAGGTTGCACATGCCCAGGTTCAGGTAGCGTAGGTTGCTGAGGTCCTGGAAGGCTCCGTCGGAGATGTAGGAGAGCCGCTTGAGCTCTCCCAGGTCCAGTCTTCGCAGCGATGGGACCCGGTTGAAGGCGTACGACGGGATGCTCTCGATGGGGTTGTTCCTCAGCCACAGCTCCTTGAGTTTGGAGAGGTACTCGAAGGCGCCGTTGGGGATGGTGGTGAGGCGGTTGTCGAACAGCTCCAGGGTGTTGAGACTGGCCAGGCCGTTGAAGGCGCCGATCTCGATGTTGCGAATGTGGTTCTTGCTCAGCTGCAGGATCTCCAGGTGCCTCAGGTGCTTGAAGCTGTCCACCTTGATCACCTGGATGAGGTTGTCCTGCAGGTTCAGGTAACGCGTGTTGGTGGAGATGCCGTCGGGGACGTCGCGCAGGCTCCGGCGGGTGCAGATCACCTTGCTGAACTGGTTGCTGCAGGAGCAGACAGATGGGCAGGTCTGGGCGCGCACCAGGCCGGCCACTGCCAGGATCTGGAGGGCCAAAAGCAGCACGAAGAGGGGGTGGGACAGAACCCCCCTCAGCCTAGGATCTCTCATTGTCTGGCACTGGAGGGAGGAGATCATTGTGATCAGCATTCATAGTTCAGTGGCTGGTGGTCCTCTCTGAAATATGGTAAAGAGAAGAGAGAGAGAAGGAGAACAGATTAGGCAGTGGAAAAATATAAGGCAAGCAAAGAAAACTACTGCAGAACAGAAGGTTATTATGGGTAATGTGACTATTCTAGTCTAATGAAGGGACACTATACTGCATGTGCACAATGCACATGTCTGGGATAATGACCTACATGAGGTAGAGAGATGGTGAAATGTAGTTGGCTTATCATTGGGGATGGATGGGTGTTCACTCATCCTAGATAGTCGTCATAAACACTGTCCATCTGTGGAGCATTAGAGCGGTCAGAGATCCTTTGGATTGGCCCACATATCAGGACATCCCAGGACAGGCTTCATGACTGGAGGCCACAGAACTGAAGAACTGAGAGCGTCTGATTCCCATATGTACTTTCCTCTCTCATCAATCAATTAATCAATCAATCAATCAATAAAAAGAGTTGTCATTCAAGCCCGGAAAGTCAAACCTTAATCTGTAAATCTGTAATAAGCCAATCAATCTATCTCTTGTTGTATAGTGGATTTCACAAATTGATTTGTCACAAAGTGCTGTAACAAACTTGTCACAAAACGTTTTTTTTCAGTCTCAAAATTTAGATGAATTTCACGTCTCACAATAAGTGTTTTGAGATGAGGACGTGTTTTGGGGTTTTACCAGTTTAGAAATAAGTCAACAACAACAGAGATGGTCCTGGTGTTGAAACAATGTCTAATATTCTCCTTATCACTCCCTCCAGGAAATACACGACGCCGCTGTTCTGGTTACTGATGGATTTATTCTTCTACTAAATTCTCCACCGTCATCAATCCACCGTCGAACTGTTTAAATACATTTCAACACATGCACAAAAAACAAGTTGGCGTTCACGTTACAGAAACCTTGCACGTAAATATGCGCGACAAATAATTAACATAATGAACATACCTCGCTGGCTGCACACAACTGAGAGGGAAATGGGTCCACTTAGAAACAAGAATACTTGTAAATAAACACGTCGTTAATTTAACTTATCTTTCAGAGTACTAAACTTTACCGCCGCTACTTTACCGCGATGTCTGGAACTTGTCACCACTAACAGCGTCCCAACACAACATAGAATGTGCAGATAGTTCCTATCACATAAATACAAGCAAAATCAATATTCAAAAATACAAGTTGTACAAATAATAATGATATTATGTAAAACCTATTAATAATGACATGAATAACATTAATAATGCCATGAATAACATTTATGGCAGTTAAACTCCCACCAAATCACATCCTTTGGGATTTCACCTCACAAAATACCCATAACATTCATTCTGCTTCAAGCAGTAAAACTGTCTTGTATACAGGCCTGTCAAGATAGACTGGCTTTGTAGTGCGTTTTCCCTGGTTATCTAAGGTTGAGTCACTAATTAACAGTTTTACCTTTCTGACTCTTCCATCAGTGCTAGGGTACACCTGTGCTACTCTTGCTAATCTCCATTGATTTGAATCTGTAGTGGACTTGATTCTTTGGATTCTGTTAGCCACAAAGACGTGGAATCGTCTTGCATCATTGTTTATATATCCAAGGACAACCTTTGAGTCTGTCCAAAAATGTTCTTGAAGACCATCTATTTCGAGCTCCTTTCTGAGCACAACACTTGTCCTTGCTGCTACCACTGCTGCAGATAACTCAAGGCGTGGTATTGTGGTCACTTTGGTGGGGGCAACACGTGCTTTCCCCATGACTGACGAACAATGGACATCCCCATTGGTGTTGATTGTTCTGAGATAAGTACACTCCCCATAGCCTGTGACGCTGACATCTGAGAAGTGGTGAAGCTCGTACTGTTTGACATCTATGAAGTTTGCTGGAATATAGCACCTTCTGATCCTTACATTAGACAAGTTTTGTAGATCTTGTAGCCAAGATTCCCACTGTGTCTTGAGCTCCTCTGAGAGTGGTTCATCCCAACCGGCCTTGTCTCGACACAGTTGTTGCAATATCTGCTTTCCTAGGAGAATGAATGGGGCTACGAACCCCAATGGGTCGTAGATGGAAGCTACTGTTGATAGCACTCCTCTTCTGGTCAACGGGTGTTCCTTGACTGTAACTCTGAGCTGAAAGTCATCAGAGGACACGCACCATTGCACTCCGAGAGCTCTTTCCATGAGTGGCTCTCCCAAAGCCATATCAAGGTTTTTGACACTTTCAGCGCACTCTTCCTTTGGTATTGATTTCAATACATGCTTGCTGTTGGAGACGAACTTATGTAGTCTTAGCTTGCCTGTGCTGCAAAGACCTCTTGCTTCCTTGATGAGTTAAATTGCCTCAGCATCAGACGTTACACTCACCAGTCCATCGTCAACATAAAATTCCTTTGGATGAATTTAACAGCGTTTTGGTTAAATTGATCCTGACCTTTAGCGGCTAGATGTTTGAGACCAAAATTGGCACAGCCGGGTGAGGAGGCTGCCCCAAACAGATGGACTTTCATCCGGAAAGTTGATGGCGGAGACATCAGGTCACCATTCTCCCACCATAAGAACCTCAGGTAGTCTTGGTCTTCCGGTCTTACATGGAACTGATGGAACATTCGCTCCACATCACACATAATAGCAATTGGGCCCTTGCGAAACCTGCAGAGAACTCCCACCAAGGTATTTGTGAGCTCTGGCCCAGTAAGAAGGTGGTCATTCAATGACGTGTCTTGGAATCTTGCTGAGCAATCGAAGACGACGCGTATCTTCCCAGGCTTTTGAGGGTGGTATACCCCGTGGTGGGGAATATACCAGGCTGGATGATTGTTGAGTTCCTTTTCGGGAACCTTCTCAGCATCACCACGAGCAATGATATCTTTCATGAAGTTCATGTAGTCTGAGCAGTATTTCTGGTCTCCCTTGAGCCTTCGTTCCAAGCCTCTTAGACGCTGAACAGAACATGACTTATTATTGGGTAGATTTGGTCTGTCTTGTTTGAAAGGTAAGGGCATTTCATAATGACCATCTTGTTTGTGTTTGATTTCATCTCTCAGCTTAGTCAAGAAGTGGAGATCTTCCTGAGAGACGGTTGCATCTTCTTCAACTCTTTCACTGAAATCAGATTCTAGTACCTTAATTACATCATTTGGACTGATCATTTCCTTGATCTGAGTCTTGCAAACATAGTGAACTTCACCTTTGAGCTTGATTGTTGGTTTGGGTTCAGGTGTCACTTTCCTTACAATGATGCAGTGACTTACTCCAATTGCATCACTGTAGTGCTCTTGTGGGTCACCATAACTCACTATGCTCCAACCTAGATCAGTTCTCTGAGCAAAGGGTTCATTTTCTTCTCCACATACGACTTCTCTGGACATTAGCGCTTGTGGGCAATTGTATCCGATTAGCAGACCAATTTCACATTCCTTTGGCGGTGCAATGTGTTCTGCAAGATGCTCCAAATGAGGCCATGCTTTAGCGGTCTCTGAAGTTGGAATGTGTGTCCGATTGGCAGGGATAAATTCACGAGTGTACGTTGTTGGCACTGTGATCTTCTTAGAGGAGAATAAACCTCTTATTTGTAGGTATTTGAGTCTTTTACAGGGTACAATTGTCCTTTTTGACGACATTGTAGATAGTTTCAGCTTCACTTGTTCCGTGTTCGTATCTAGAATGTTTGCTACTTCCTCAAGAATGAAGGAAGAATCACTTTGTGAATCTAGCAGAGCATAGACAAGAACTTCCTTACTTGAATCACTTTGTGTTGACACATAGACAGGTACTATCGCTGAAGTCTGTGTAGTATTGCCATCTTGCACAACTCTGTTGGATGTGGTTTCCTTGATAACCTCTTGTGTTGACAGTAGCTTTCTTTCCTTGCCATAACTTATGTCTTTAGATGTTTCCCCTTTTGGTTCTTGTTTTGAGCGATCTTCGTGTAGGCATGTGGGATGACGTTTTGAGCAGGTGTCACAGACCATCCGGCTACTGCAGCTCTTGGATTGATGGCCAGGACTTAAACATCCGAAGCACAGTCTTTCATTCTGAATGAACTTGACTCGTTCGGCGACTGTCCTTTCAATGAATTTGAAGCACTTGTGTAAACTGTGTCCTAATTTCTTACATAACACACATGTGACTATGTTTCTCTCACTGATGTTAGTTGTGAAGATCTTGGCACCTACAGTTTGGTTCTTGATCTTTGCTTTATCAGGTTCACTTTGTCGTAATGCGTTGTAGGATGTTATAGGGTTGCACGCAATACTAGCTTCCATCGACAGGAATGTCACAAAATAGTTAAAGCTTGGGAACCTTCTGTGTTCCAGTTGGTATTGTGTGGCCCTTCGGTTCCATCTGCTACTTAACCAGTCGGGTAGTTTGGCAGCTAGTTTTTGATTCTCAATATCATCATTAAGAACCTTTAGACTCTCATTGTGAGCAATAGCGAATTCACAACTACGTAGAAAGTCTACAAATTTTCTTAAGTCTGCACTCTCCTTAGGAGCTAGTTTTGGCCAAGCATGTAATTTGTCTCGGAAGGCCTTGGCAATCACAAACGGCTCACCATAACGTTCCTTGAGCAGGTCCCATGCTGCATGATATGAATCTTCTGAATCGATCAGAAAATAACCTTCTACTGCTTCTTTAGCTGCTCCTCCCACATATTTCTGAAGGAAGAAGATTTTCTCTGCAGCTGGAATATTTTTTCTCTCAATCAGTGTCTGAAAGGAAGACTTCCAATGGTTAAACTTGAGTGGATCCCCACTAAAAATTGTAGGCTCTGGAATGGGAAGCCTATTTGCTGATATAGCCTCAGCCAGGACTTTCACAAGCTCTCTTGTGTCGTTTTGAAGCACACTTCTTGGAGCCACATCCCTTAGTGGTTGTGGGTGCTGATACACAGGATTCACCTGATCAATTGGTTGCTCAAATGTAGGCAGCTCAGACTTATGTGGAGTAAGCCTTTGGTCTGGATACAACTCATTTTCGTCATAGACTT